TTTTTTTTACTTTATTAATATTTTATTTTATTAAATGAATAATCATAGAAAATGAACTTTTCAAATCTAGAACACTCTTTAGACTTTACAAAAGCTATACATTATGGTTAAGTGTGAGTGTGTAGCTATAATTATATTTTACTTACTTGGTTTATCATTGCAATTTCGGTTACGTTTTCAGTATGGTTTTTAGTTTATTCTTATCTATTCGACATTCTTTTCTAAAAACTATACATATATTTTTTCAACATGCTTTGATTTTTCATAACTTTTGGCACAATAGTCGGTACCTAAAAATATTACAACCTTTTATTTTTATAAATATTGTGGAGTAATTGTGATACCAATAGTTGTAAATTACACAGAAACAAAAAAATATATTAGGTATAGATATATATTATATTATAAGTTATAACTAACTATCTAACATACTTAGAAATGACAATACAAATTTAAGATCTAATAAAATTTGTTTTTATTTTTAACAACAACTCTGACATTTGATAGTTGGTCTCCTACTAAGAAATTTGTTTTAAATTTATTGATTACTTTTAAAATAAATCACTAGATTTTCATATTTAACTATAACATTTCATGAATATTTTATAACTAATAACTACATTTCTTATTTAATTACAGTGAAAAATAGTACGTAATTAGTTTTAATTTGTAAAAATTGTTCTAAAAATGTATATTGGAGAGTAGAGTGGGAGCAATAGCGTCGAAAACGTACTTCAAGTAGTTCAATTTAACTCCCTTAATAATGGATGGGTTAATTGGGTAAAATAATAGAGAATACTTCTTAGCAGGGATCGAAACCGTTTCAAATTTTAACAGTTACGGTTTCGGTTTTTTATATTTTATGATTTTGGTTTAGGTTCTAAGATCGGTTTTTCAAAATTTTCAGTTTTGGTTTTTGATAATTTTTTTTTTTTCTTTACCGAATAACTGCAGACCCGATTTTTACTATCTATTTACTATTTAGGGCTGAAAGTCCTAATGTATGTCCGATTTGTATAACTAGTGTAGGTACATACAATATAGCAAATTTAAGTTCAGCAGACCTAATTTTGTGTTGTTAACTAAAGTATTTTATACCTACTTTTGCATAATCCATACAACATTATGGTTGAGATCATCATTCGATTATATTACTATTTAATTGTAATTTACAATAACATCACACTAATTACAGTAAAATATAACTCTTGTTATGTGATTAATGGTTATGATATTTGAACCAAATATTTATTTAAATAGATACTAAAAAAGAATATTGGACAATTGAAAATATTGTTATTTAAAAAGGTTTACTGTTAAGTTTCAAATATACATTATAAGATTTGGTACACTCATTTCTAAATCAGGGGATTCTGAGGAAAGTGATGATAATGACATAAGCAATTGATGATTGGGGGGCGGACGCGGATCAGTCGAATACAAAACAATTGTAATAACATTAATAAATAATAATATACACAAATACATCAAATAACAAGAATACAGACGTGCATAGCCACATATTTACAATAATTGCTATTTTTTCGCCCCTATATATACAATTATTGTGATATTTGTATTATAATTTTGAATCAGTGAGTATAGTTATGGTATTAAAAGAATTTAAATAGAATAAAATTCGTATTATCTATTAATATTTCGTAATAATCAGTTATATCATCGGTATTCAAACGAAATATTTTCTTCGCATAAAAATACTCGTTTAAACTAGAATTATAAATAATATAGGTAGGTAATTAACTTTATAAAATTCGAAGAAAGCGATATTAGTTTTAAATTTCAATCGGTTTCAAGATCGGTTTTTCAATATTGATGGTTTTGGTTTAGGTTTTCTAAACGGTTTTTTAAGATTTTAGGTTTCAGTTACGGTTTATTAACCGGTGCTTTAAAGCTTTTGGGTTCGGTTTCGGTTACGGTGTTGAAATATGAAAAACAGCGGTTTTAACCGGTTTTTCAGAAAACCGGTTAAACCGGTTTCGATCCCTGCTTCTTAGCATTTCTGTTATAATTATATTAAACACAGATATTATGTCGTTAAACTATTTATACATAGTTAGTTGAGCCAGTTAGTTTGAGGTCTTTCATTTCACAATTTTAGACAAATGATATGATTATTATAAATTTATTTTTTGTTTTTTATCCAGAAACTTTTGGAGGATTAAGTAAGAAACATTTGTTATGTTTATTATTTCACTAATCTTTAGAACTCATTTTTGTTTTATAATTTCTTAGTATATATTTTACAATATCAATAGTTTTTTTTTACTTTATTAACACTTTATGTTAATAAATGAATAATCATAGAAAATGAACTTTTCAAATCTAGAACATTCGTTAGAATTTACAAAAGCTATACATTATGGTTAAGTTAGAGTGTGTAACTATAATTATATTTTACTTACTTGGTTTATCATTGCAATTTCGGTTACGTTTTCAGTATGGTTTCTAGTTTATTCTTATCTATTCGACATTCTTTTCTAAAAACTATATATTTTTTCAACATGCTTTGATTTTTCATAACTTTTGGCACAATAGTCGGTACCTAAAAATATTACAACCTTTTATTTTTATAAATATTGTGGAGTAATTGTGATACCAATAGTTGTAAATTACACAGAAACAAAAAAATATATTAGGTATAGATATATATTATATTATAAGTTATAACTAACTACCTAACATACTAAGAAATGACAATACAAATTTAAGATCTAATAAAATTTGTTTTTATTTTTACCAACAACTCTGACATTTGATAGTTGGTCTCCTACTAAGAAATTTGTTTTAAATTTATTGATTACTTTTAAATTAAATCACTAGATTTTCATATTTAACTATAACATTTCATGAATATTTTATAACTAATAACTACATTTCTTATTTAATTACAGTTGCAGATAGTACGTAACTAGTTTTAATTTGTAAAAATTGTTCTAAAAATGTATATGTGAGAGTAGATTGGGAGCAATAGCGTCGAAAACGTACTTCAAGTAGTTCAATTTATCTGCCAATAATGGGTGGGTTTATTGGGTAAAATAATAGAGAATACTTTTTAGCATTTCTGTTATAATTATATTAAACACAGATATTATGTCGTTAAACTATTAACTACTAACATAGTTAGTTGAGCCAGTATCACAGTCGTTTGAAGGGATGAATGGTTCAATCGAAATATTTGAACTGCCAGTTTTAATTTCATTCTGTGCTACTGAGTGGGAATGTCAATATGTCCATCAATTTATACTGAAAATTAAAAGCTTCGACTCTACTATAGAAGATATATACCAATTACCCAACAACTTTTTTAATTCAGAACTTGAATCCTGTTGCTGGTTCTTACCAAAAACTTTTAATTTCGCGGAATTTTGGGAAGCTAAAATCGGTTACCGTTCTCTTAAGCCTAATTTTATTCTTATTTATCGCTTACCATCACTTACCTGACGATTTTTAAGTTAACATAAAACTTTATAATAAGATCATATGTTTTGACAGGTTAAGAACCGATGACTGATCTTTATTAATACCGAGTAGTAACTACCGTTACTCACACACAAAATTGTTATTTGTTTGAACTCAAAATATTGTAAAGTTAATGTCTGTTTTTATATACTTTGGGTGTTCTTATGAATTATTATCATTTTTCAACACAATGCGTAGAATCAACGTATTATTGTTGTTGATATAAATTACTATGCAGTTTATTTAACTAATAGATATTGAACATTGTAGTTTGAAGTTAAATCAACTATATTTACTTTATTTTTATGCGTTTACTCATGAGTTATTAACTATATTATGTTTAATTAATTTTAGCTACTTAAATTATGATGAGCTCGTAGCTACTATAATATTTATCTTCTTAAAACTATTTTTAAATCACAATACATAGGTGTGATAAAATTAATTTTAGAAAAACGGTATTGAATCAGTTATCGGTAACCGACATTATTTTAAAGCCTTAATCGCTTAATCGGGAACCTGTAATAATGAGTATAGGACCGGTAATGATGTTACTACTAACGACATGACCAGTTGAAAACTGACAATTTCTGTAATGGTTTTAATCCCAATTTTTTATTATTCTATTTCTAATTCTGAAGTCCATTTAAAACAATATCACATTATTTTTTTTTTTCTAACGACAGGACCGGTTTAAAACTGGTAACCGGTATCAAAATATTTTATAACCCACAATTTCTTGTAATGGTTTTAAGCCCGACTTTTTATTATTCTATCTCTAATATTTTACAGGAAGTCCATTTTAATATTATAATATCGTATTAATAACTAATTATTATTAATTGTGTTTATTGTAGTTAATTTAGCTAAGGGTACGTAAGCATATTCAATTTAATTTAACATAAAATGTATTTATAACCATTGAGTTTGATTTTTCACCCTATAAACTAACTAAATGCTTTTAAGGTTTAATAATCTATAGATTATACTAACTGATATAAACTAGCTATAGAATGAAATTAAAAGTAAAAACTAATCAACTATTCAATATTTTAATCCGTGAAAAAGAATCAGGATCTATATAATTAAAGCAACGTTTAGGCACCAGCTATGTATGTATGTATGTATAAACGATCCACAACCAAGTCAAACGCACATAGTTCTGAAATGATACTTTGGTCTAAAGTTTTGTTTCTATACTCTTGACCTATGAGTTACGAAATTTAGAAATTTTTCTATAACCGTTACTTAAATAATTTTGGTTTAAATAAATTATTATTGAAGTATCTAGTCTAAAAAACTAGTGAAGTCGGACTTCCGTTTAACTAGATTTCATCGTACATCGTCATTAGGTTTTGAATAAATAAGAAGATTCAATTAAAATGTTTATCCTGATGAATAATTTGTTGAATTTATTGAACATTTAATCTAAAGAGTTATTGATTTAGGTATATGATTTATAGAATATAGATTAACCAAAAACAATTGAAAACTGTCACAGTGTGGTTTTATTTTTACAGGACTAGCAAGAAGTTACAAAGGTTTACTGATGAGACGTATGTATAATAACTAATATGACGTGTGTGTTAAAAATTAAAATGAATTTTAGGGGTGCTCAGGGTAAGTTGACGTGTTGGGTAAGACGGAAAATTGATAATATCAAAATAACGATATTACCTATAATCTGCAGAATTTCTTAAACAGTAGGTATTTAAAAACTTAGTAAACCTTAAGTGTGTCAACCTAACCCTGAGTTCCCCTACTGTAATAGTACTAACAATATGTAGTGTTTACATAATCAACATCCAACAGAGCCACATATGTCCTGATTGAGCGTAAAATAAGAATATGGTGTTTGAATGCTGCTACAATTGCTGCTTATATTGAATATTTATATGATAACTAAATTATAAAAATAATTACAAACAATTTGTGTTGAATAACATATTACATGGTCTGCGGTAAAAATTGCTATTCATATAAGTATACAATCGAGATTGTTGTAGGGCAATCTAATAAACTTAATCAACAAATCTAATACCAATTTTTGTTTGCTGTTTTAGAACCTTACCAGTCGTTTAATTCTTTCTGTATGAAAAATATTCAAGAGGTTAAGGAAAATATTTTTAGCGAAATTGAAAACTTGTCGTACGCCGGATACACATTTGACGCACCACTAGTTTGAACCGGAACCTTCAAAATATCAAGAACCTTACCCGTTATTTTAATAAAAAAAAAAAGGTACCAGAACCGTAAAGGAATTTTTAAATTAAATATGTTATTTGAGGTTTAAAAATAAAGTTATTTTATTAAAAAAATTGAATGGTATTACTGTTTTGTTTATAAACTATAATTATAATTGTATATAATTATATTATAACTATGATCATGATATAAGTTTTCTAATATTTCTCATAGGTAGGTACTATTAATTAAACCCACATTCTGGATAGTTATTTAAAATTAATATAATTTTCAATACCTAAATTATCTGTAAACGGTACCAAAATTATTTGGAACCTATTCCTTAATCAGAACCGAACCGGAACAGTTATTTTAATTTTGGAGAACCAGTACCGGAACTGATAGGCACCGTTAATTCAAAAGGTTCCAGTCCCTGGTCAAAACTAATTTATATTCTTAATATAATTTAATGTAAAACATAATACAATGTAATAGTATAATGTTTGCTGAAACATTTTATAATTATAATAAATAAATAAAAGAAAAACCACATTAACGTTAAGATTTTAGAATATGTAATTCGATATTTTCTAATGTATCACTAATATTGCTAATTGCTATTATTAATACCACAGTTTAAAATAATGTATTTCCTCCTATGTAAAATTATATATTATTATGCACCTATTGGTTAGTATGCCGTGTCTATGGCCCTATGTGTTTAAGGTAGATTGCTTTAAATTAATAAAGTTGTTATAAATTATAGTATAATTTTTTTTATTTTTTAGTTATGTACCTAAGAAGTAATAACCGTCTTATGATTCTAAAAGCGTGTTAAAATTATCGTACTAAACTATTTGTTAAATTGAAATTGTTTTTCATTGTTTCTTATTGATATTAAATAACGAACAATATTCAGCACCGAATACCAATTAACTACAATGCCGATTAACCGTATCTGAAAATGTTCAATATGTTGGTATAACATATTTAATTGGTACCAGTATTATTTTTTTCCAAAATGTATTAGTCAGGAAGTAATAGGTATTTATAACTCGGTACTAGAACTCTTGTCCCCATTCAAATTGTACCTAGTATTGGTAGTTTTTAACTGTAATAGATAAGTTATAAAAAAACATTATTTTTATTCTTTATTCTATTTATATTCTGTTCTTAATTATTATAACCCCGTCAAATCGTCGATACATACTTTTCTACAGTTTTTTTTATAATTAGCATTTAGAATAATTTATATCTAACATATTTTAGAGTTTGAGTTTTCGATTGTTTAACTTTACTGCAGTTAGTGATATATATTAAAAAATAGAGTATGGCATAAATAATTACATCGATATATTTTGTTCGATGAAAATCTATAATATGATTTAATCGTTTAAATGTGCAGGTTCGGAATAGATTCAGTGTTTATAGCAATGGTTTTTCTTTTAATTTATATATACATATTACCTACCTACTTCTCTCAGTTAACTTTTTTGACCAACAAAATCAAGCAAAAAGTGCACAATATTTCAGCTAAGTGACAAGCCTGCACTCCGTCGGCTAAAATGTGGACGTCCCTGAGATCACCTTCACCTTATTTAAACCTTTACAGGATGGTTTCAACCTTATGACTTTGTTTCTATCGTAGAACATAATATAATATGTTTTATGTATCTATACTCTCTATGATTGGAATACTCATACAAAAAATAATAATAATATAATTTCAACGCTGTTGTATTCATGACTAAATATATATCGAAGTCAGCAAGATGACCAATGTTCACTATAACTCAATTTATTATTATGCAAATTCTTTCACTTTATAAAATACACAACCACATGATTACTTTAAACTTCAATGTTATTATTTTATTATTTTCCAAAGCATAACCTCATATCTCCCTATTTCAGGGGCTTCACTACCACGTCTTTTTTTGTCAAAAACTACTGTTTCTAATTTCAACAATACGTGTCGACAATATTCAAGAATCACGAATCACAATAATCACGAATTTCATTCTGAAAATATATTCAGATTGTCCGTAGTGTATACGAGAGAACGATTGAGCCACATTTTTAATTTTTGTAATTTAAGTTGTAATAAAAATTGTGAAAAATTCAAAAAAAATCAGAATTCCTAACTTAAATATTTAATTAACTAAATATAATATAAAAATGTGCCTCGATCGACATGTTGTGGAAAAAAAGAATATTTTGTCAGAATGTAAATCGAGGTCATCGTTGAGACGTATTGTTGAAATTAGAATCGTATGTTTGAGTGAAAAATAAACATTTTTTCATGATCACAATATTGCATACTGACATGGACGCCACACACATTAATAATCATTTATGACTAAATGTTTCTCCTTAAGGGGATTCGATCCGGTGATTTAATAAGGGGTCGTGTATAGGCAATTCGATGTATTATAATCGTTTCGCAGTGTGTTTGTATGAGAAGTAAATGATCTTTAGTGTGTGTAGATACGTTAGGAATCAGTGGTTCGCACCCGCATGCACATGTCACATAATAAAATATTTGTTCCAACGAGAAACTAATTTCAATCAATTGAGACCTAAAAGCCTGACAAAAATACGATAACTTAGAATGATCGGATTTTAGTTCTGTAAACATATTTGAATTCATCGTTCTTTTTTCTAGGTTATTGTGGGAGTCGATTTTTGAATAACTGTTTAACTTTTTAAAGAAAGACACAAACAATTTTCAAAAAATTGAGAAATCGAAGTATGATTTAACGTGAATTCTAAAAAAAATATCGAAAATTGATTCCCACAATAACCTAGGAAAATTGTCAATGAACTCGAATCTTTTTACAGAATTGAAATCTGATAATTCTAAGTAGGCGTATTTTTGTCAGGCTTTTAGGTCTAAATCATGAAATAAATACGCTGGATCGAATCCCCTTAAGTCAATGCCATAGCGAGGCCCCTTAGTATATGGGCGCTTGTAAATTGCGCCCACATTAAGTAGATAATAAAAACACTATTGTAAATTGCGCCCATAGTATCGAAGTGACTTTGAATTCATCCTTACCTATTATGTGTATTTTAAAAATACTGCTCTTCATTTATAGGTGGATAAGCCGAACGTTTATCGCTATAATCGTTATGATATTAGGCATTATTAGCAATATCAATGCCTTTACGCATATAATATACAACGACTTTACGTATAGGTAATATTTTAGTAAGTCATTTGCGTGCAAAAGTGAAACATAGATACTATATATACTAGATTTAGCCAGGAAGTAAATTATGTTATAATCTATCAAACTTATACATTTTCAAAATTAAAACGTGAGTTGCCTTCGTGTGTTACAAAGCTAAGCATTATCTAAGACCGTGACCGTGAAACAATGGTATTGAGTGGCTAAATGACCATCATAATATTTATTTTTTTTTTGGTTCCATTAACTACACATAAATTTGTACCTGAAAAATACCGGGCGCAATTTACTACATAGAAATTTATACCTGAAAAATACCGGGCGCAAATCACAGGGGTTTCCGTTTTCCGCCAAAATGACCCTCGCCCATTATCACCATGGCCGTTTTCCGCCAAAGGTTATATTCCGATTTCCACCAAAAAATTAATAAATTATTTTGAGAACCCCTGAACTGAGACCATCAAATAGTGATGATTACGATTTAGGTACTCGCTATTATTATATAGCGATAATTGACGGTTTATTGTTCGCTGACAGTCTGCATCTGTCAGTTGAAACCGCGAAATCAAAAAAAGTTTCTATAATGTCGGACAATATTGATGTGATAACCAGTAACCGTGGGCATATTATGCTATATACAAAAATTTTAAATTTATACATATTATATACATTTATTTTATATTAATTGTTTCGAAATAATTTATTTTAAACTTGAGCATTTTAACGCCACGAGTCTATTGTCCTCCTGGACTCGTGCCGACAGCGGACCTATTCTTAGGATGTGTCAAATCCTCGCTTTATTGACGCGCGTTGACAACCCTTTCCGACTTAAATGTTTTTACGTAAAAGTTTTTTTTTACATAATATATTCTGTCTGATTGCCATCTTCATAGATAATAATATATACATAGATAGGATATACCATGTATTTAAGTGTGATCGAAGCATACTAGCATACTACTTAAAGAATTGGTTACATATTATAATCGGGTAATAACTACTAATAAGTGTGGTAGTATAAGAAACATTAGGAGGTAATTATAATGGTCAAAAACCTGTTTGTGTCAGTACAATACTCTAATGAATATTTAACTTTGATTGGAATATAAAGGGGCGGCTTGTTAGTAAAATATTTTGTAGTTCATACTTCATACGCAGTGGTGACTCGTGATGTTTAAATTAAATAGTATGCAGTTACTGCAAAAATTCTTGAAAAAAAAAAAAATATTAGTAAATTTCAAATTCAAAATTTTAAAATGAAAAAAATAAATAATGGGTGGAGCTAAAAAAAATAATTCCGATTTGGCGATATCACTACAGATATATCTGTATGGTCGAATACGACTAAGTATGGTATACGGTAACAGCGTTGCTAATTGCTATCCCATATCAAAATATATATTAATATAATAATATGTTAAGTTTGAATTTTAGCGAACAATAATTAAACTATTTCGGACGTGGGTATTGACACACACACAGATTTTTTTAAAAATTAATTCAACCTACTGTATAAGGCCACGTATAATAATAATTATTCATAATATGTTTGAAAATGCCTATAGTCTCTGCCACATGTTTATTGTTACTGAATAAACAATGAATGTACATTGCTTATTTCATTTTACGAAATAGAATATTTTTTGTTGAATTTCATATAATATCAACATTAAAATTTGAACTTTATAGTATTAAGTTTTTAAAGCATAGATAAGTGGACTGAAGAGGTTTGGTTCTATATACTTGGTACTTATACACGGCTTAAGTAATATAAGTCGCCTAATTTATTTTTTTTTTATATTTAGGTGTA